GAAAACTAAGAGCAGTGGCACGTGACCACAAAGGCGGGCTTTTCTACTCCCATCCACGTCTGTCAGATTTATTTGCTGTCTCTTCACGTGTCCGTCTGCAATCTGGTTTTTCAATTTGAAGAGTTAGAGAACGTTCGCATGTTAGTGTTTCAACAGTTTGTTTCTGGCAGTACTTGAAGCGCTTGTTTTCGTCGTAGGGAGAGAGAGAAAGAATGGGGTAAACACTGATTAGAAAGGAAGGACGAGAGTGATAGAGGAAAGGAGATAGATAGATAGATAGATAGATAGATAGATAGATAGATAGATATGAACAGTGACATAGATAGTTATCTATTGAATGTTTTTTTTGTCAGAATTTCTACTGGACTGAAAATGCGTTACATTCTCACGTTTTTTTAGTTGTATTATTATTATTATTATTTGTGTATGCTATGTTTTCTGCTTTGTATCCTGTAGAGCCGGGTTCAAACTATGGTCCTTAGGCCCTATAGGAGAATTGTCATTTAGTATATAGGATGTTCCTAGCAGGTCGATCTTCTGGGCAACTTGTATGTTGATGTTACCTGGGACACTTAGTAAAATTATCCATTCCTTTTCTCATGAGGCCCAGAACCCCGATTACTATTGGTACAGTCTCAGTCTTCATTCCCCACATCCTGTTAATCTCGATCTCCAGCTCCTTGTATTTGGACAATTTCTTGATAATTTTCATGGAGGTGTTTCTCTCAAATTGTACTGCTATGTCGATAAGCATGCACTTGCTGAATTTCTTGTTTTTTATGAATATCGGGTCTTTTGGCTTTTATTTCCCTGTCACCTTGAATTGGCATGTCCCAGAGGATAGTTACATCGTTATTTTGGGTAACTGTATCTGGTTGGTGCTCATATAATCTCTCAGTGGTTTCGATTTTGTGCTTCTTGCATATCTTCCAGTGCACATATGTCGCTACCTTGTTATGCCTGTGGGTATATTCATCTTTTGTTAGTACCGGACATCCTGAGATAATATGGTCGACAGTTTCATCATTTTTTTCCGCAGATCCTGTATTTCTATCCTTGATTATGTGACAGTGATAGGATCTGCTTGCGTGGCTTTGGTCCTGAGCTGCAATAATTAGGACCTTCTGAAGTGTTTTCTGTAGGTCCACATCTGCTTCTTTCCTTTTTTTTATGTATTTGCCAGGTGATTTTTTTTTTCTTTTTTTGTAATTTCATTTAACCAAGTTGTTTTGCTTTCTGATTTACTCGTTTGGCGTAGATGCTATTTGCTTCGTTTTTTGTTGATAGGATTTCAGCTGTTTCTTGAAGAGTGTGGCTTTGTTGATGGAGTGAATCTGGTGTTTTACTAATTGTAGGAAAGGGTCATTGGTTTTAGTGAGATATGCTTCCAATGTGATTTTTGTAGTTTTTAAAGCTAGTTTAAGTTGGATTAGGCCTCGGCCTCCTAAAGCTCTTGGTACATAAAGACTATCAAAATCTGACTTCGTGTGGTGCATCTTCATTTGGGTAAGCTTTTTTCTGGTCTTGGCGTCCAATCTTTTAATGTCATTCAACTTCAATTTGATAATGTTGAAACTGTATGTTACTTCGCCGCCCGCTAAGGTGTTGATAGCCTTCATTTTATGGGCCCCGTTTAGTTCGCTCTCTATATCAAACGCATTCTCCTATAAAAAAATTTTTGGATCTTTTTCTTCATAATTGAATGTTATATTACGTTTTCTTTATTAACTCCTAAGTATTTGTATGTACCATCTTGGTTTAGTTCCTTAATCTTCTTGTTGATATCAACGTCTAACTTTGTAGTTTTCGTTAGTTTATCGCATTTGAAGGTGGCTTTGGCACATTTATCTCTATATTATTTTTTCCAAGTTCTCGATATAGTTTCTTGGCATCTTCTTTAAAGATCTTGTTTTTCCAGTAAGAATCTTTCTTTGAATTTAGTAATGTCGTAAATCCACATTTTTTTTTTGTGAATGTTTTTCAGTTAAAGTGACATGAACTAAAAGTATAGTCCAAATAATAGAGTAAAATGTCTTAGTAGATTTTTCCTTCACAGAATTTTGCATGTACTGCAGATCGATTTACTTAAATATATTAAATTGTACAGTATATATATATTAAATCATAAAGATATAATTCTCCCTTCAATAATAACTCTAGCGTTGCAACACTGCACGTTGTAAAATTCTAGAACTGCCAATAAATAACTGTTATGGGACCTTACCCATAATAACATAATGGACTATTCCATACGTAATAAATACTGCGCCTCAAGAGGAAGCAGTGAGTTCAGTCCGAAGTCGGACGACCGGCTGATCGGTTGAACTCTCTGCCTTCGGGTGGGAGGGAACCCAAACGAGGCTACGCCGAAGGGCGGAGTCTCTTTTGGTGAGGTAAACCGACCCTGAACCCGTTTATACGGGTTCAAAGGGCATATTTTTGGCCGAGCCCACGGGCTCGGAGATCCCACGGGCTCGGAGATCCCACGGGCTCGGAGATCCCACGGGCTCGGAGATCCCACGTTAAACCGGCCTTCTGCCACATGATGCCCTCGTGGGGGGGTGACTAAATACTGTTTAGTCTAAAGTCTGGAGTGAAGTCCGTCAGGAGTCTGTCAGTCAGTCAGAGCTAGCGAGTCAGTCAGTCGAGTCAGAGGCAGACCGAAACAGAGTCGCGTTCAGACAATTAATACTAAACCTGATTGTTCGTACTAACACTTTCTACTTCTCTGTATATATTCCTGTTTGTAATATATCTGTGTTATTCCATATCCGTATTCGAGTTCTTCTTTATTGGTTCTACCTTGGACTATCACCGTGGTACAAGGAACCGGACCATAACAATAACATATTTTTTAAAAATGATCTTTCGATATACACTGTATTTATTTCGTCTTGGAGTTTAACTGGAATTGAAAAATTTCGCCCGGAAGATGAAAATGTGAAATTTTGGAAAATATTCGGCCTAGCAACATTAAATGTATCTTACAACTAATTAAACATAATGATCGCGTTATTCAATGAATTATTAGTAAGTTAATGTCTTATTAAGTCTTGTTAGCGCAGTTAACTACATTAATTACATTAACATTGCCAATTAATTCTTTGTATAATTACCTCTTTATGATATATATGTGGTGGTGGGGGGGGCAAAGGTTTGGCAATTCAACGATGACAAGAACCAACACCCTAGATGAAAGAAAGAAAGAAAGAAAGAAAGAATGGAGAGATAGTTGATGTGTAGATACCTTATGCGTAATTGCCAAATTCAAATCCTGACCAAATCTGTTTCATTCACTTAGCACTAATACCCTTGGAAAATGAATGAACCCGTTTTCCTCCAGCTATGTGTTCTCTTTGCCTTTGGTGATAGTCAGCTGGGAGAACGAAATAGTTTGACCGACTACTTTGTGGACCTGTTCGGATCACGAAAAGGCTAAGGAGTAAGACCTATACCAATCCCGATTAGGGCACCGAGAGTGAATGGATGGCGTAATGCCTGCCCTTCCGGCAACACCTACTCCCGCGTCAGTTCCAAACAGTATTGCTTTGTCGTTTTCTTTTGGACTCTACCGGTAATGCCGAGAGTGGTTCTTGATGTGTGGGCAGCTCAAGATCTCCATCGATCCAGCCCAGGCAGATGGTGCGCTGCGTACTGCACCATCGTCTCCCGGAACTTATGAATACTAAGTGTACCAACTCATAAAAAAGATTTTATATTTAATTATGAGTGATGTAGAATTCATAATTATTCAATGATGAATAAAATTTCATTCTGTCTATATTTATGAGGTGATATATTGCGACTATTTACATTGCTGTTGTCCTAATTTTTAGTGTCACATTCATGGGTTCTCGACCGTTGTACTCTCCGGCATTTCTTCAGTATCTCTCTCTATTTCTGAGATGAGGTATTGTAACTATTTACAGTGTTTACATAGTTCGGACGGTTATCCTCATCTTTATTGCCATATTCACAATGTTTCGGCCGTCGTACGCTCTGACCCCTCTTCAGGTGATATACGTTGGAATTTCGAACCGAACCCTTTATTTAGTCCACGAGTAGATTGTTCTAATTCCACGTGCTATGGCTTCTTTGGGTATATCAGTTTCAGTTAATTCACAATACACAATTCTTTGGGCCAAGTCACTTTTTGGATTAGTTCAACCAAAGCTTTTATTCACTGGACCATTCGTTTTGTTTAATATTCAAACAGCATTGAATATAATCAAGAAAATGTAGAACTTATACTTATATACAGTTTTCTGTATATAAGTATAATGTAATTGCAAACTTACGTAAATATAGCCGTCATTTTGTTTTACAACCCCGCTAAACGAGTATAGCTTAACGGGTTAGTAAGTGGCTGACTTCAAAGTGTACCATGCTTGCGTCTTAACGTCGTTAATTGTGTGATGATTTTCTAAGCGTACTAAAGGAATACTAAATTGGTGACAAGGTCTCATCTTCCCTGTCAACTTTAATCTTCAAATATTTAAATGCAATGTCAACAGTTATCTTCTTGGATGATTTTGTTTAGCGACAAATCAACACCTCCATGAGTTATTTAATGCCGAAATCTAAATATTTTTAACACAATATTATGGCTTCAACTACAGATAAAATGTATTGTTGGTTATTTTTATTCTATTGTTGTTTATTTTTATATAAAATGTATTCCTTGTATTTTTACTATAAAAATATATTTTTATACTTTCATAAAGTTTTGTCTTTGCTTAGTGGGTGCTCACTATTTGCCCGTAGCTGGGAACCCTAGCTGGTGCTAGAGCTCTAACCAACTACAAAATGGCATTAAGTACAGAGAATTCATGTCACTTTTGCGGAAAAGTTTGCAAGTTAACGGGTGGACTGAAATGACATGCAAACACTCACAAAGGTAGAGCAAATGACAACCAAACGCGTTAGTCTGATGTCTGATAGCTTCGTACCAGATATTTTAAAAGTGTCTCTGAGCCATATCAAGTCAAAATACAACTAAGTCTTACAATGATACATTGTAATGGTCATACTCGACAATGAGTTGGCAGCCTTCATGTATGTATTGTCCAAATATAGCTATACAAATACAGATATCCATTATACGACAATAAATAGATAGATAGATAGATATAAACTGAGATAGATAGATAGATAGATAGATAGATAGATAGATATTCTTTTCATTACAAAATTTTTATTAAGGTCTAGTGTTAAAATTGTTCTATTTTATCATTAGTTCTTGTTGTTAATCACTTATTGTGCCTAATAAGTTCTACAGTATGAACGACTCTTCCACCCGTCACATAATTTTTATTACAGTCTATTGTTAGAATTGTTCTATTTTATTATTTATTGTTGTCAATATCTGTTATGGTCCAAGTTCCTTGTACCACGGTGATGGTCCAAGGTTAGAACCAAATGAAAGAATAACACGTACACAGGTATGGAATACAAAGATATATTACAACAGAAATATAATACAAAGAAGTAGAAGTATTAGTAATGACTATCAGATTTGGTTAGAGTGAACTATGTTGTCTCGACAAGTATCACTATTCCAATGTCCTTACAATATGCTCTCAATTATCTCTCCTCGTCTTACAATCTCCTCATACCTCTTGAGAGGCGCAGTATTTATAATGTCAGGAATAGTCCATTATTATTATGGATAATTTCCCATAACACCCACCTTCCGAAGCTTTTACATATCAGGGGTTTTTCATATTTTTTTCTCTTTGGATCTATTACCAAAGGTTCTGTGAACTTCCTTTTTCTGGACGATTTTCGTGAATACTTCTTCTGGACTGGGTAGAGGATAGTGGTAGTCTTTTATCGCTGCGTTTAAACCCGTTGAGAAATCAACGCATACTCGAATCCCCTGATTTTTTTTTTTTTTTTTTTTTTGGCGTTAATCGTGGGTGCGGCCCATTGACTGTATTCTACTTGTGTCAATATGCCGGTGTTTTTGAGTCTAGCCAATTCGTGATTTATTTTTTCTATTGAAGCAAACGGTACGCTCCTTTTTTTCTTGAAGATAAGTTGAACTTCGGGGAAATTCTCTTTTAGATTCTCTTTTAATTTATCTGCCTCGGCCGATAAACTTTTTACATTTTGGCAGTACGTACTTATTAGTAAATCACAAAGTTCGAATTTTTGCATCCAGTCCGTACCGAATAAGTTTTCTGTATTTCTTAGTACATACATTTTCAATTTTTTGGTCATTCCATTGAATGTCACATTTGTAATCACTTCACCCTCAAATTTTATTTTTCTTCCAGTTACCGATCTAGCAATTTTATCGGTTCTTAACATGGTATGTTTGTTCAGTCTTCTCCATGTTTGTACGTTAATAATAGTTAAGTCCGACCCGGAATCCAACTGTAGTCTGACTTTTGTTTTGCATTTCTACTTGCACGTATTTTCTTATGTTAGTCTCATCCGCTTGGTCAGTCCTCGTGATTCTTATTCTGGTTTTGCTTTCTCTTCTAGTCCAACAATGAGAACTTTTATGTCCTACTTTTTTGCATGATAGACAAGTTTTAAAATGGTATGGACAGTCTTTATACCAATGCCAAGTCCCACAGCGATAGCATGGACTGGGTGGTAGTTTTTTCTGATACTGACTTTTTGAAGTAGAAAAATTTGTTTGACCTTTTTTTGAGGAGGGAAAATTGGTTTGGTTTGTTTGTGAGGAGGGAAAGTTGGTTTGTCTTCGTACTTTACGTATGTGCTGATGCCAGCTTCTTCTATATCTTTTGAGTCTTTCTTTACACTTATGCATCTCTGGCAGTCTTCGGCCAGTTTTGAAATGTCAAATCTTGTTCCTCTCAATTTTGCAAGGATTCTGCGTCTAATTTCCGCGTCTTTGGTTGAAACCAGGCCTTGGGCGTATATTAAACATTTGAAATTGTCCGGGCTGAGTTCCGATAACTTGAAATCATCACAATATTTGTTTACAATGCAAGCGAAAGTTATGTAATCGTCGCTCTGCTTTTTTGTTAGATTCAGACATTTCCATCTTTTGCGGAATAGTGAGGTATTAGGGCTGAAAAGTTCTGTTAACAGTTTTATGGCTTCTTTAAAATTAAATCATTTGTTTTCCTCGGTAGGATATAATCTACGAATTTGGTATATTCGCATGTGCCTAATTTTCTTAGTAGTAGTCGTACTTTTCTTGCGTCTGACCAATTTTTGCAGTCAAATTCATATAGATCTTCGTACGTAAGTTGCAAAGGTTTTGTCTTCGTAGGGTGCATACGTGAAATCTTCGATAGTGCTCAAAATAACGTCTTGTGGGAGAACTGTTTCATTTTCGGAATTTTGCCCTCTATTTGACATTACACGTAGCAATAATTCTTGTAATTCAAGATGTTTCTGTTCGTTTTTCTGTTGCTGTTCAAATTGGATTTTCATAAGTTCCACAATGGTTAACTTAAAATCTTCCATGTTAACGTAATTTTGTGTAAGTATTTTCCTTTAGTGTAGCCTGATATTCTGGAACCTGTTTCGCCAAAAAAAAAATTCCCTGTGTAGAAATTGAATTGTGTCTTTGTTACCACGGTAAAGTTGATGTCCAAAAAAAATGTCCTTTTTTTTTTATATGTTCGCGTAGAACTCGTTTTTTAGAAATCTCTAAGTAGAACTTGTTTTTTACAATCTCCACGTAGAACTTGTTTCTTCAGTTTTCACGTCGACGCTGTTATGTGCGACGGATAGCAAAAAAAAAAAGTATTTCCTCCGCGTAGAGAGTTCGTTTTTGGGGGGTTTTTTTTAGAGTTTCCTCGTCGCCACTTGTTATGGTCCAAGTCCCTTGTACCATGGTGATGGTCCAAGGTTAGAACCAATGAAAGAATAACACGAACACAGGTATGGAATACAAAGATATATTACAACAGAAATATAATACAAAGAAGTAGAAGTATTATTAATGACTATCAGATTTATCAGTGAATTTGGTTCGAGTGAACTATTCCAGTGTCCTTACAATATGCTCTCAATTGATAAACTGAACTTTTTCATATGTATCCCTATGTCTTTTAGTGATAATGTTCAAAGTCCATTATTATTTGAGTTCCATAACAAATAGAATATTATATGTTTCTTTTTTTAATATTCTTTTAGTGATGTTCAATTATAAACAGGAAAATGAATAGAATATAGATTTTTTTAATATAGGAAGTATTCAATAAAATTTTAAATTGAGAACATAGATTTCTGTTATATTAAAATTTGGAATTGACCTACAGTCTGTTGTTAACTGGAGCAAAGAACGCCTCCAAAAACATAACTTCTCTCCATAAATCATCTGAGAGACCTCTTCCTGCCTTCCATCAGCATGGCTGATGCTAACCTCCAGGAAAGTTGACTCGTTGCTGGTTAACATTGTCGGCTGACATGAAGTGGAAAAATTATATTGAATCCATTGCGCGGTCTATTGCTAAAGTTGCTGCTTCACTGTGTCGTGCAAGACAGTTTTTCTCTCCAGAATCTATCTTACATATCTATAAGTCTATCATTCGCCCACGCTTAGAATATTCCCGACATATATTGTCCGGTGTACCTGTTATATATTTAGAGATTCTTGATAAAATCCAAAAGAAGAATCAGCAATATTATTATCAGTACTAGACTAGCAATGAGGTCTCATCATTTTACATTTGAGTTGATTAGATGTAACCGTACGTTCTAAGCTAACAGTTTCTTTTCTCGCAGATCTCACTTAAGAAACTCCCTCCCAGCTTCATGCTTTCCAACCAAATTTGATCTTCAAAAACTTAAATTCAATGTCAATCGTTATCTACCGTCTTCCTGATTCCTCTTCTTTTCTTCTTGCTCCTTCATAATGTTTCTCTTTTTAATTATTCTTTCACACTTAGTAACCCCTTGTGTCTTAGTGACTTTACTGTCTTGCATGGGGTGAATTTGATTAAATGTAATTTTTTTTAATACAGTTGTCATCTTTTTTACTATACAGGTAAACAGGTATAAGTAATGAAATGTTCCAAATTAAAACTGTCATAATTGCAACAGTCATCAAATATTTACTAGTCATATTGTCACTGCTTAAGTACACTTGTCTAGTAAAAAATAAGGGAAAATGATTTTGTTGGAAGGATAAATAATTTTACTAATCATAATAATTTTACTACTAATAATAATTTTACTAGATTAACATTTATTAGAAATTCTTCACAGCGGGACATTTGTCTGAATCAAAAGATACTGATTTTTATCATTTTAGAAGTAAGGTGTCCTATTCATAATATTGACACAGTGTAAAATCGATCCCAAATTTTTTACAGAGTTATCTATACTTAACTGTGTTGACTACGAAAGTACACTTTAAAAAATGTTATTTTAAAGAATAATCGAATATATAGATTTTTATTTAAATAACAGAAGTTTATATGTTAATAAAAGTACATAACCGTTTATTCTTCACATACGATAAATAATTATTACCCCAATATTTGTACATATGATTCCGAAAGGAATTCCATAAAAATAAGTTTTAAAATTCAGAAATTAAAAAAGAAAGACCATATCAATGATGCAAGCAGTTTCAAACTCGACAATTGTAAACAATAGTTAAGTTCAATAAATCGATTTTAAATTGTATCGGTATTATCAAGAGGACCCGAATAATAAAATCAATATTTTTCGATTCTAACAAATTCTAATCAATAAAAATGGTTCACCGAAAAAATGTTCTCTATTTTTTTACAAGTGGACCGTTTTGTTTAAGTTGCTAAATCATATTTACAGTAATTGCGTTCATTTTTAAGATGTAAAATCCTAATTTAAAGCAATAAAGTGTTAATATTTTTCATTTAATTTAAATGTGATTGTTGATTGATTGATTCGTTTTCTACGGGTTATCAACCCTTTGCAGGTTATTTAAAGCCAGGAAATATTTTAGATTGTAAGAATTTTTGTTTTGAGATAATAATGATTTAGTGATACAAGTTTTACTAATTAACCCATAGGTTTTTTTTAATCAAACAAGGCGGAAATACCACCAGTACGCGGTGCGGGGGGGGGGTCAGAGAGTGAAATTGAGAGAAAAGACTTGGTATAGGGAGGATTGAGGAAAAGATAAAAGATGAACGGGATTCAAGAAGATAGAAGATGGTGATTGACGTTGAATTTACATTTTTGAAGATTGTAGTTTTTATGGAAGCAAGAAAGCAGAAGGGACAATCAGCCTAATGAGTCACATAACAAAACTCATCACTCGAATTCTGATGAATAGAGCGCGCGGAGAAAGGGGACTAGAACAGTGCGAATTCGTCAAGGACACTGGAACAAGGTACGCGATATTCATGCTCAGAATGTTATCAGATAGAGCAATACAAATACAGAAGGACATGTACCTGTGTTTTATGGACTACGCAAAAGGTGTTGGATAAAGTACGCCACAAAGATATGTTAGGGCTTCTCAGCAACCTTGACATATTGACATTAGAATAATTAAGAACATATACTGGCTGAAAATCGCCTGGAGACGGACAGAAAATAAGTTGAACAGATATAAAAAAATAGAAAGTAGGTGTAAGACAAGGATATGTCTTCTCACCGGATTTATTCGACTTATGCAGCGAGGCAATTCTGAAAGAACTAGAACTCCTACCAGGATTCATTACTGGTAGCCGTAATGTTAACAACATAAGTTATGTAGATGACACAGTGCTCGTAGCAGGCACGGAAAGTAAACTACAATCCTGCTACAGAAGGTAGAGAAGGAAATGAAGAAGAAAGGACTAAGCATAAACTACAAGTAGACAGAATGCATGGTCGTCAGCAAAAAGATGAGCCCAAAATGCAAATTAAAGGTCGGGTATGCTAAAATCACGCCGGTACAGAAATATTAAATATCTGGGAAGTGTTCTAACATAGGACAGAAAGAGCGACACTGAGATCCGAAGACGTATTGGGATGGCGCCAAAGATGCATTTCAAAAGGTAATCAGTGTATCAAGAGAGAGAAAAATTTCGTTAGAAACAAAAAAGAATACTGGATTGTTATGTGATATCTGTCCTTCTGAATGGCAATGAATGCTGAACAATCTCCTCAAAAATGAAAAAGAGACGTGAAACAACAGAAATGTGGTTCTGAGGATATCATAGACCGAATATGTGAGCAACGACGAAGTTTTGGAGAGAATGGAAACACAGAGAAAACTTATACTTAGCATCAGGAAGAGGCAGGTGAAATTTATGGGGAACGTAATGAGGAAGGAGGGCTTGGAAAATCTGATACTCACAGGACAGATAGAGGGAGAGTGGGAAAACAACGCGTGGCATACTTAATGGGTTTGAGCAAATGGTTAGCGGTTCAGGGTTTGGAAGAAATAAGAAAAAGACAAAACTTATTAAAAGCTACAATGTACAGGAGGGAGTGGAGGGCCATGATCGCCTACATCCTGAAAAGACAAAACACATAAAAGAAAGAAGTTTACTAGTACAACCACATCGATGATTCGATTTTCTTGCTTCGATAAAAGAGTCAAGAATTAAGAGCCGCAAATGATTCGTGCGTCAATGTGTGTGTGTGTGTGTGTGTGTGTGTGTGTGTGTGTGTGTGTGTGTGTGTGTGTGTGTGTGTGTGTGTGTGTGTGAAATTGTACAAATAGGCATTGCAACCAGAAATAATTTTTTTTTTCATAATTTTTTTTATTTTACTCGAGATGAAGAACTCTATATCATGAATATCCCAAAACATTTTTTATTAAATATTATAAAAGTCAATATGAGGGTCAATCAATGTAAATTGTCCCCCCACCGCCTACGTAAGCCAAAACAAAAGATGCTTATACCACGTGATCTCTTAAAATTTTAAAAATTGAACATTTAAATATTTTTTAAATTCATAATCTGCAGAGTCTTTGCGTTTTATTTATTTATTTTTCATGATTAAGCACTCCAAATTCTTCTATGTACCGTGTCCCTTCAGGATGTGGACGACCATGGCTCTCCACAACTTCCCGTCCCTTGTAGTTCTTAGTAAGTTTTGACTTTTTTCCTATCCCTCCTCGTTGGGTAGGATATTAAAAAAAAAAAAAAAAACGTAATTTTTGAATTTTAAGAAATCAAGTGATATGCGCATATTTTCTTTTGGCTTCTGTAGGGTAATCAATTTACGATGTATTTACATAGCAAATTGAATCCCCTATTAACATTGATAAAACTTAATAATAATAATAATAATAATAAAAGTCCTATTCGTGGACGTAAGTGATTAATCTGTAGTAATATGAACAAACATTTTGAAAAAAAATATTTATTTCAAGTCACAATGGGTACCCCCACTATTTTAGGGTAGGTACTGGTTAGTTTTTATATCTTTTATTTATATGATCGAATCTAAATTATTTGAACTGTTCCTAGAATTAAACTGTTCCTACTCACATATGATGTTTTGCATTGATCTCGTTACATTCCGGACTGCCGTGATGTGGGATCCTGATCACTATTATTATTATTATTATTATTATTATTGTCATCATCATCATCATTCGATTTCTGCTATGGACACACTACCTACCAAGTCTGCGGAAAGACCTAAGGCAGGTCGTGGTGTGTTGTTATGGCCACATTTCATGTTAATTTTTTTTTTTTTTTTTTATCTCCGATGAAGTTGCTAGCGTTACATAGACAAAGTTCTCCTTAGTGTGTGTGCTGTACTTAATAAGACAATTTTCTGTATGTCTCTTAAGCTGGGGTTTCAGGATTCTTTCAATGTGTTGTTTTGTTCCATTTTTATAATTCCAAGTGCACCTATTACCACTGGTATTATTCTTGTTTTCAATTTCCACATTTTTTCTATTTCAATTTCCAGGTCTTTGTATTTTTGATAGTTTTTCAAATTCCTTGGTTGCTATGTTACAATCCGCTGGACAAGCCATATCAATTAGTAGGCAAGTTTTTTTCTTTCTGGTTTTTGACAATAATGTCCGGCCTATTTGCTTCAATTTTTCTGTCTGTGTGGATGGTATAATCCCATAGAATGGTGACATCTTCTATTTCTGTAACCGGCGCTGGCCGATGTTCATACCAGTGTTTGCTTACACATTTTCCAAAGTGTTTGCACATTGTCCAGTGTAAGTATTGCCCCACTCTATCGTGACGATTTTTATATTCATTTGGGGCAAGTATAGAACATCCTGAGATTAGATGGTCTATTGTTTCTTGGTATTTGTCACAGAACCTGCATTTTGGATCCACATTATTATGTATGATATTTGCCTGAAAATTCCTAGTGAAAAAGACTCTGGTCTTGCGCTGCAAGAATAAAGCCTTCAGTTTCAGACTTTAATCCAGATGCTCGTAACCATCGATGAGTATTAACTTTATCAACATTGGGTTTATTTGCACGTTCTGGATATTGGCCATGCAGAGGTTTGTCTTGCCAGCGTTGTTTCATCTGTTCAAGGGGCTTTATCCTTGGCTTTTTTTCATGTCTTTTGCTGCAATAGTTGGTTCTTGGCTTCTGTTTTGATTTACTACAGAATCTACTAAATGTAAATGTTGTTTGTATTTACTGCCTTCTTTTATTATTGAATATTTTTTCTTTCTGTTTTCATGTTTTTTTTTATTATTATTATTATTATTATTATTATTATTATTATTATTATTATTTCTTTCCTCCTTGTATATACATTTACTCCCGGGTCCCAAAAAAATCACACACATTTTACATAGATAAAGCTCTTTGTAATGTGAGCTGCACTTTTGAGTACAATTTTTTGTATTTCTTTAAGGCATGGACGACCAGGAATCCTTTCAATGAGTCTGTCGAAGCTTTTTCCAATCAATTATTATTATTAGTGTGTTGCTGGTTACATGACGTTGTTTTAATGTGGGGAATATTCTTTTGTCATTGTAGGCAATAAATCAGGTCATTTTCGTCGTCCATACTTCAGATGTCCCATGAAACATTTTTATCACATATGTGTAAAGAAACCTGACTCAATACATTTGAACTGAGTTGACAGATAGAGAAATACGTTACAAACGATTGTAACTTACACACTAAATTTTTGGTAAAAAATTTTTTGTTTGTTTTTTGTTGTTTTTTTTCTCCATTTAAATAAACATTAAATTATTATTCGTCGGATCTTATATTTAAGTCGGCACTTTATTTTTTGGTAAATTTTTAATACTTCTTCACTTCTTCTACGTACAGTGTCCCTTCAGAGCGTTGACGGTCATGTCTCTCCACAACATCCTATCCTTTATAGCTGTTAGCAATATTTTTGTTATCACGCCTACTGCATGTTCTGCCAAAAGCTTGTTAGTTAGGTACTCAGTGTTTTTTGCCCCATACCGCTTAGCATCAATATTTCCTGTGAGTGTCAAATTCTCGAAGCCCTCTTTCTTCATTATGTGTTGCAGAAATTTAAATTGTACAAAGTATTTCGTTTTCAAACAGGTTTGATTAAATTCAACCTACATGGTCTGTCAGATTCTAATATATATATATATATATATATATATATATATATATATATATATATATATATATTTGTGTGTGTGTATAGGTAAAAATCGGTGGGTAATTAATCCAAGTGAATCCTAATAATATAAAATATTAAAACTGATCCACAAAGAGAGCTCAATGTATTTATTACAGAGCATATATAAATTAGAAGATCAATTTTTTTGCGAGGAGACATGGTCATATAGATGTGGTATTAAATTTCCTTTATATATATATATATATATATATGAAAAGTGTATATAAATATAAATAAATATATATATGTATAATTATTTATATATTATATGCGCGGTACTTATTAGAAAGCGCCCAATATCAGAGATAGAGCTAACATATTTGGTTGGATAGATGTGAGTTTGTGACCCTGGGTTTCACGCTGATTAATCAGTTTGTCTGGCGATCGCTTAAAGCGTGAAAACCCAGGGTCACAAAGTCACATCCAAATATATATATATATATATATATTAGTGGCTATACGTATGAAATATGAAAGGTGCGTCTGCTGTAGAATATGAAGAAAAACAGTGCGACGTTTTGTGACTTACAAAGAGATTAATCATTTGGCTTTTATACATATATATATATATATATATATATGTGTGTGTGTGTATGTATGTATGTATATAGCATAATGAGAAGCCACGTATACTTTTTTAATATGTATATAGAAAAACAACTAAAAAGTTGCAAATTAAAAAAATAATAATGTTTTTTATGAAAGTATTTATTTTAAAAAAACATTATTTTTTTTAATTTGCAACTTTTTAGTTGTTTTTTTCTCTCTATATATATATGTAGATAGATATTCAATAAATAAGATAACTTCAAGTGACTTCACTTATTCATTGAATAATTTTGTTATCTATTGAGCAATTGTGGGCAGAAGTTCAGCTAGTCTGAAAAATTCATATTTTCGTAATTTTCATGTATTTTCTCAGCTGTATTTACTATTTAGATAGATAGATAGATAGATAGATAGATAGATAGATAGATAGATAGATTACTGTTCTTGTAAATTAAAGCCCAAGTGACAGCAAGTCTCTTCGTTACTCCAGCATTCTTTTCACTCGTATTCGTGATTATTTTATTAATGTTAACGACTGGATGTTTCCAATTCTTTCTCGGGAGTTCCTATTATTATTATTATTATTATTATTATTATTATTATTATTATTATTGATGGTGACGGTGGTGTTCTTGTTGTTGCTGTTGATGTTGTTGTTTTGTCGTTGTTGTTATCATTAGGTGAAGTATTCAGGTCGTCAATAAGATCGGGCGCAGTTTTAAAAAAAAAGAACGGGGTGGTGGTTAAGGAGCAGTGCAAAACAGTGCGCGCAGTTCTGTAGCACACGCTAACTTAGGCAGTGTTTCTTTTCTTCCTTTCCTCGCCTTTTTCTCTCATTTGTGTGTACACTGAAACATGTTCACACTCAAACACATTGTCCTGCCTCACTCCCACCTCAGTCAGTAGCACATGCTTACACTAACACAGTGACATGTGCTCATTTTTCACAGTGGGGCTTTTGTCAGAGGGATGCCCGCCTGCTTGCACTAACATCTGTGTCACCATCAATTTCTCTCACACATTTCGATAGCGACTCCGTCCAGGAAACTATAGCGGACGTCCCAGCCTAGAAAAGCACCAAGCAAACACGCCATGAACATCAGTTGTAGAAAATCTTGCATCCCACCCACACGGTACCTCCGTCGGTCCGACTGGTTCGGACTTGGTACCTGCCCTTCACAGACGCAACGAAAGCAAACTCTAATACCAGTAACACCGACACACTACATCCGAAAACTATGTCCACCAGGGCTACAGCCAGTAACGGGAACATTCACCCGATCGCTGACCAACTTAGCCAAAGGGTGACAACAACAAGTGACCGGGTGTCACCAAGGCGGTTTTTGACCGGACTTTCTTCGCAATCGCCGTCACCCGTTTTCCACCCGAATCTCTTACCGCAGGGTAGCGAACGTACCCCTCCAAATTCGCCGATTATCAAAGTAAACATACCAAGTGGTATCGCAAGTGATTTAATAGGGACACGTTTTGACCCCAGCAATAATGTTGTTACGAACAGTGGTATTAATGCTGACAACAATACTGTTACTAGCAATAAGGACTCGAACCTTTCCGCCTCTATTAACAGTACAGTTAAAGTGTCTTCCTCTCTGACAGTGTCCACTGGAAGCGGTACAGTTTTGGCCGGCGGTGAAATCCCGGCCTATGTAATTGCTGGTGTCTATAACGCTGATTTCCACGTGGGTTCGAACACAACAGACAATCCAAACGTTACTAAAATTCTTGAGGTAAGTCAATCACTTTTATTTTATCATATTTTTATTGTTGTTTTTGTTTTGTCTTGTTTTTTGTTGTTTTTTCTTATATCAGGTTTATCAATTTGTCTTCATTAGAGATCAAGTGACAACTAGTTTCGTCAAAACGAAAGTATGTTACTTTGTTCAGTATTCTAGTTAATAGTTCAATATCCTTGGGAAAGGTATGAAACTACCTCTTCTACCCCCAGTTATGGGTTAATCAGTAATTCATTATTATCTAAAAAGATTTCTTACTATCTAAAAATATTTTCTGGCTTTAAATAACCTGCGAAGGGTTGATAAATCGTAAAAAAACAAATCAATCACTCCTTCATATTCTATCCTTCTCTTCGTTATTGTAACTGTTTTTCTGTTGCCATCTCAATGTTTCGGTTCGAATTCTGCGTCGGAGGTTCTAACAACGAAAATTAAAAGTGAAACTTCGACGTCAAAATTTTAATTTTAGAGTATTTTTTGTTTTGTTTTGTTTTTGTTATTTTGTCATCTTCTTATTGCTCGTTATCGTAACACTTTGATTCGGAGAACGCCCGCTTGAACTTCATAACTTCCGCCGAATTTGTTTACATCTTAGACGTCTTTACGCTATGTACGGAAGCACATACATAACAACTTTCAATTTGTAGCCGGATTTTTAAAATAAAAGGACAGAAAAAGAAATTTACGTCTTTTAAACCTTCCATACTTAAATTTTTCTTATGTCATCGAGACGATTCTAAAATTGTTACTTAAGAAACTGGTTTCATTTTTTTATTTTCCTTTTTCTAAATGAAGCTCACTAATTGATCAGCTTGAAATCACTCTCAACTTCTTTTCAACTCTTAAAATCTGGTTTCTGTTAATGATCAATTGTTACGATAATTTCTGTTTGAATTTATTATTTACACTATTTACCACCCGAATCTCTTACCGCAGGGTAGCGAACGTACCCCTCCAAATTCGCCGATTATCAAAGTAAACACACCAAGTGGTATCGCAAGTGATTTAATAGGGACACGTTTTGACCCCAGCAATAATGTTGTTACGAACAGTGGTATTAATGCTGACAACAATACTGTTACTAGCAATAAGGACTCGAACCTTTCAACCTTTTCAACTCTTAAAATCTGGTTTCTGTTAATGATCGATTGTTACGATAATTTCTGTTTGAATTTATTATTTACACTATTTACATTCAGACTATAATCCTCATCTTTGTTGTTGTTACAACGTTTCGGCCTTTGCGCTCTTCGGGCTTCATCGGGTGTATATCGATCTGGGTAACCTACAGTGAATTCAGAAATGAACCCTTTATTTAATCCACAGGAGTAGACCATTGTCATTCCACTGTCTACGTCTATGTATATCTCGTCTTGTTCTAATTTTTTAGTGCTGTTCAATTATTGCATGCCCTGTTTACAATGAGTCCAAGTACACGCTGCCCAGCCCAGGAATCTGGTGATATATTAATTGTGAGTTCAATCCTTAAGCTAGGCAGTGGAGCGATCAACAGCGGCTAAAATGTCTGCACAGTACAAATTTTGATTTGGAATGATATCTACATCGTAAAACGTAACATGAGGAAATTTAATTTATTAAAATGTTTAAAACATTTCTATTAATAATATTCTAGTGAGTGATAAACATCGGCTAAAAATGATAAAAATACAAGTCAGGAACTTCTTTTCTCATCATCCGCCAAAAGAATTAGTCTGTGTGCGATTCATGACACATAAATCACAAGCTAAAGTAGCACCAATTTGCCGAGACACATGATCGTATAGATTCTGATATGACATTATTTTTTTTTTTTTTAATTCGCTATATGAGGTATTGTAAATAAATCACATTTTGAGCGGCATTTTCAACACTAACAACTTTAAACACGTGTTCACATTATCTCCCCTTTTTATCAACACATTGTTGAGATTATAGCAGCAGGCACCGCCCAGCATCCACGGTGACTTTTTCTTCTCTCGGTTGCAATGCTTATGTTTTTAGAGTCTCACTTGCCAATCGTTTGATCCAGCACCAAACACGAACCTCACAAATGCCACAATTCGGGTGCTTCAATTCATCACACGGGTGTAGAAATGATGTGTGCCACCCGTAGTAGAATAATAAATAGTTTCTCTAGCGAGTTTCACATGTCATTGGCGACGTTTAGAGAATTCTCTCGTCACTAGGTGTCATAAAATTTGGCTTAGTAGTGATTTAATAAGCGTAGCTTAGATGTGGCACAAGGCTGAAAGTAGGCAGCATCCACTTACCACTCAATTGTAACTCTAACGAGACAAACTTACTAACCATTATACCACGACGAAGTACTGAAACTTGGTTTAGTAAATGTTTCGAAGCACTGGAGAACCTGTCGTTAAGCATTTGTAAGCAGATTTAAACTCACTATTCGTTGGTACTGAGTTTGCTTCGCACTGTGTACCTTTCTTTTGTAGTGCTACTCTTATAAGAAATTTAAACTGCTTGAGCGTGCGTCGTCTGCTTTTTGTGATTTTGACAAGGAACATATAGAACAATTCAAAAACTCTTAATCTTAAAAATGATACTTCCTATAAAGGATAAATTAAAATTAGTTTCTTCTAATTATGCTGTTATTTTGAAGGATTTAGATAGGGTTGTCAAAAGTTTAAAAAAGAAAGACGCACTTCCCGATTATTTCACTGTTTTTCATGAACAGGGAAAGCAGGGAATCGTGGAACGTAATTCTGTTTTCCTTAAAAATTATGGGAAATATATTTGATACGTCATTGGTCTGTAATTAAAAGTAATGAGGAGTCGACCACAATAATTAGATGCTGTTTATCCTGGTGTCAATTTGATAAACAACATTTTGACTAGATCATTTCAAAGTAAGAAATATACTCTCTTGGCCTATATTACAAAGGCCTTACTTATGATGAAGTTAAAAAATGAAAATGATAGAAATAAATTTTGTTTTTTTCTTGAAAGAGAGTGAAAATGTAATTTGCTATACAACTTTGATCTTTGTGTTTATAGCAAGTCCCTTTATATTGAATGTTTGTTATCCAACACAACATGTTAACAAATACCTTAAAGATTTAGGCACTGTTATGGTAAGAGATAATTTTTATGTAGATAATTTGATTAAGACAAGTAATTCTCCCGAAGAATTGTTCTACTTATATAAAAAAATCTGTGAAAAGAATAATACTGGCGCAAAATTTTAGTGTGACTTTGTTTACCTCTGACAATTAAGGGGAGGATACTTTTGGCGAATTTATGGATATTAAAATTACCTTGGGATCAGATTATCCCTGAAGAATATAAAAATTTTGGTTTGCTTTAGCTAAAGATTTATTACCAATTAAATGAGATTAATTTTCCGAGAAATACCTATAACGATTCCCTACATGCCAGCTTTATATATATATATATATATATATATATATATATATATATATATATATATATACTTTATCGCTTATATTGTTCAAGAAGGTATTAGAAAATTAATTGAGGAATCCAAACAAAATCTTATTTATCCGTAAATTTTATATATGTTTTAACTTCAGAAAACCCTGCAGATTTATTAACTAGAGGGTTATCATTTGAACAATTCGTACAAAAATTAATTTTTTTTGAATGCAGGTCTTATATGGGTACATAAAAATGACAGTGGATGACCTTGTTCTCACAACAAATCCCTTGAAACTGAGACCATATTGGTCTTTGGGTAGAATACAAGGGAATGACCATAATGTTGGCATGGTGTCAGATTTAGTTAAATTTAACAAAGACCAATTTTTAACAAATGTTCATTTTGAAACCTGTTTTTAAAAAAGCCAAGATACTGATTTCCGCGCTTCAAATCAAGTCTGGCTTCATTTAGAGGATTGGCGCTACATAATCTTTAGGTTTAATGATAAAGATTAATAAACATTAAAAACAAAAAGAAAAAAATTGCCAGTGGAAGGTATTCAAGCCAAAGTAAAACCCAGCAATTTGAATAGTGATTTTCAAGGCCGGTTGACCTGTCCCACGTTTTTCCCACCTGGCCTTTTGCCGTGAGAAATTCAGCTTATGATTAAGTGTTTACGAACTTATCAGTTTTAAAGCTCAGGTAAAGGATTTCCCTAACTTTATGGTAGTAATTCTTCCTTGTCCACAACGACTCTAGAAGGAATAAATACAAATTAAAAATCATGTTAAGTTAGATTATTATATTACATTTAAAGAGAAGAATACACACACACACACACATATATATATATATATATTACTAGGGTTTAGGATTGAGATTTCATCTAACCTTAAAATAGTTGATTACCTAGACATCACCCTTAACCTGAATAATAAAAAGTTTAAACCATACCATAAAGACAATGAAACCCCCACCTCTATTAATGTTAATTCTAGCCACCCCAATGCCATTGTGAAACAGATACCTACCACCGTTGGCACTAGGATTAGTCGATTATCATCCAAAATAAACATCTTTAATAAAAAATATTTTAAAAAATTGTATGAAAGTGCTCCCCAAAAAAGTGGTTTTAAAAATAAATTATCTTATCTAACACCAATAAGTAACACAGAAATATCTAAAGTGAAATGTAGATACATAAAAAAAAACTATATGGTTCAACCCTCTCTTCTGCAAACTGTCAAATATTAACCTTTTGAGCCGTCCGTTCCTGAACAAATTTAACCCTTCGACCTGAGCTCCTGAGTCAAAATTCGCAAATAATTGTAGGTAATGCTTCACGGTAACTGGGCATTTATCTCCACCACCAGTAAAGCGGTGGTCAGAACTCAAAGGATTAACATCGGACAGAATTTTCTGAAGTTAATAAATAAACACTCAAAAATTATGAGTAATATAAGTCAGATCTTCAATAGGAAAACGATTAAGATTAGCTACTCCTGTACCAAAAACACGTATAAAATTATTAAAAAAATATATATATATAAAATATATATATATATATATATATATATATATATATATATATATATATATCCGTATAATTGTATATGTTGTTATGTCATGATATTTTTGTGTCTACATTTGTATTAAAATTATAATTGCATATTTGTATTTGAATTATTTTTGTATTTGGATCTATATAATGTATGCGTATAATTTATAATGTATATGTATAAATGTTGAATGTATATAATGCATGTATGCATGTGTGTTTTTGTACATATGTTTATGTATCTATAATGTATTTTTTTTTAGATACATTTTTTGTTTATTTACACTTAATTAAATATCCAGGTACGATGTGAACGAATATAGTACGCTTCAACCCTTCGTAACATTTAATTTAAACAAAAGAGCTCAATATATAATATATATATATATATATATATATATATATATATATATATATATATTCAATGTAAATAGAAAACAGACAACTTTAAGGGTCCATTGGTTATAATTTAATTCCCCAGGTATAGGATTTTCATCTGGTTCATCAGACCGCACTTCCAAGTGTGAAAAACTTTTAAATTTACATATAGTTCTTACACACTTTTGAGGGGTAGTTTTAAGTTGATATAAGGCGATATAGAGACGATATGACAGACATGGTCGAAATTAGAGAGGGAAGGGAGAGATAGGAATAATTTTAAATCTATTTTTATTAAGATATTTAATAGTAAGTGGGTAAAGACCAGACATTGACCTATGTGCGTGTGTTGCCACCGTTATCTTTATGTAAAATGAAGATCTACCTGCTGGTAAGAGTAGCTTACCAAGAAGAATTTCAGTCTAACATTTATATAAAATATGCGCAACATTGTATCGGTCATTTGCAGGTACAACGTGCTGATTTAATCGGTTCCATAGGCAGAACTGAAATAGTGAACTTTCGCCTCAAATGTCTAAAATAATGGGGTGTCGGTAAGTCAAGTTTCAGAGTTTGAGTGGTTAAACTTTAATAAAATTTCTCAAACAAATTTAATGAAAATGCTGATGTTCCACACAACTTCAAACACAAGGTTAGGAAGGAAACGCCCATTATTACTGGAAAGGCCGATAACAGTTACTGAACTTGAGAAATCTATTTTCCTGAATAATTATTTTAATATAAAGTTTTATAAATTTCAACCGACAGTAGCACTAGCTGTTTGGTTGATGAAGACCGAATGTTTCCTTATAAGGAAACGGCTTAGCATATTAATTTATTTATTTTTTTTTTTTTTTTTTTTTTTGCTTTTTGTTTTCTTCAGGTGAAATTTTCAAACGGAAAGATTGTTCCTCCCGAGGGTGTACAAGATTGGCTTGAGTATATACAGCCGGCAAGGGACCGTCATGAACAAAATCTAGAAGCGTTTTCTGACTCGAGCAGAGATGGTGAAGTTGCCGTCCGAACGCTGCGCACGCTGCAAAAGGGAGAACAGCTCTTTGTCTGGTACAGTGACCAACTGGCCAGGGAGACTGGCATTCCGGTACTCACACCTGAAAACATTAAAGGTAATCAATCATTAATTCTAAAAGATTCCCTACTAAAAACGCACCCAATAAGAGACTTTATAGCCACTCAAGGTAGAGGGTTACTATTAAAATGGTAACGATGAACGATGTAATGTTGAATGAAATAGATGTCGGTAAAAAGGGAAATTTATAACGATAAGAAGGATGCATAAAAATTAACCCTTGACTTAAACAGGCAAAGATTGTAGTGTTTAGGAAAATTTGTAGATATTGGAAAAAAAAGTTTGAATTGAACCTTCTCCTTACAATTGGAATATGGAGGAAATAAGGATGATTTGAATCCTTGGAAGTAGTATAGTGTGTCCTCACTGAAAAGGTCTGAAGTTGTGGGACTAAAGAAGGATCCTATAAGTCTCCATAACTAAGAAGCCCTACTCGTTAGTTATGGAGAGTAGCGAAGTTGCGTTTGTGAGAAAGTAGCTGCAAAAGAGTAAAGAACGACTTCTCTCACAAGACCACTTGCCCTTCTACGATGACCTTGTGTCAAACTAAAGCAAACTTAATTTAAAAAAATACAATAATTGTTTATTAATCTTAAATCCCGATAATTTTATAATTTAGAAACCTTTTTTTCTGACTTTCTATTATGTTTTCTTTTCTTTTTATTTACTCGTTAACATATTCACTAAGCAACTGATATTTTTCTCCCAGGTAAACAGCATTACACCTGTACGAAATGCGGAAAATCTTACCTCTACCCGAACACCCTAAAAGCCCACATGCGCTTCCGCTGTGCCCTAAGCCGGGCCGAAATCCTACACAGTCTCAACACATCTATACCTTTTACTGTATTCCCTTCCTCGGCGACCCGTCACTTTACAACGGCACCGTTGGAAAAGTGCAGTGTTAGTAACACAAGCGCTTCCGATGAGATGGGGACTGTATCTTCCACTGGCTGGAGTGCTCAGTTTGAGCGCCGACACAGTCCAGCAATAGATAGCAACCGCCTAGACGAAAGCCGATTTTTGGACAAGGGTCGACAAGTGAGCACGTGTTTCCAAGCACCGGGTTTTTTGCTGCGAGGTTCGAATGGAGCAAGTTCCACAACGACCTGTGCGCCTTCAACTTCAACCGCTGAGCCAGGTCGTCCGTCAGAAATCGCTCTGAATCTGTCAACAAAAACCGCCTCGGATCGAAACCCCAATAGCACGTCCGACAGACTGCCCCCATCGACTACCACCCAGCCGATTCAGATCTTCAACCATATCCACCCGCCAGCGATTCCGTTCACCTTTGAGCATTCGGCGTTTCAATGTTACTGTCCTTTCTACACTAAGTTTCACGACCCTAGCCGTTTCTGTTGTGCCAACATACCCCCGACTAACCCGAGTACAACGACCAGAAATTCTCACGAAAACGTCTATTTTTCCCATCCGTGCTCGATGCCTTTCCCTCTTGTGCAAGTTAGGAACTTACCCGGCGCTAACGCTGTAGTACCCGAACCGCAACAACCCAGCGTCGACGAAAACCTTCGTATGCGCGAACTGCCGTTAAAATTTCCACTACCATCGGACAAAGCTGGCGAACCGCTCGATCTTCTCCCACGTTCGCTCTACACAAGCAAATCGCGCAAGGGACATTTATGCATATACTGCGGAAAACTGTACTCCAGGAAGTACGGACTTAAAATCCACCTGCGCACACACACCGGGTACAAACCCCTGAAATGCAAGGTATGTCTGCGTCCTTTTGGTGACCCTAGCAATTTGAACAAACACATTCGCTTGCACGCGGAAGGCGACACGCCATACAGGTGTGAGTTTTGTGGTAAGGTCTTGGTGCGCCGGCGAGATCTCGAGAGACACATCAAGTCACGGCATCCATCTGAGGCCGACAAATCCGAGGCAAGAGAGGTAGTCGACGAAGAGGAGCCAATGCCGGCTCTTAAAGTCGAAGCTGACGGTGATACAACAGAAGAAGAAACGAACTCTTGATTCTTAAAGGTTAATGATACGAGAGCATGACAGTTCTAACAATTCATGCTCTACTGGGTTCGATCACTAGAAGACGCCCCATTATGACGACCTTGTGCCAGACTAAACTAAACTGAAGGCACCTACTGTCACGTGATGGTTTGCAAGCTCAACTCAGAGAACAATAGTCTAGTCAAGTGAGTTCGAGGCTTACTGATTGCGCTCTTTTACAAAATCCTTGTGTGCACATGCACATCTGGTTCCCTCTTTAGATCATTATCTTCGAACACACAATTCTTGAACGTCTGCGTTGTTATTGACGACGAATTTGAATTCGCAAAGGTTTTAGTTCTTCTTGAGTTATTATGGATATCCTTCTCATAGGATCTCTGCTAAAATTATGAATATTTGTTTATTTTTTTTAATGAAACCATGTTTCGAAAACCTAGACGGCTAACAAAAAATAGCGTAAGAAAAATTTAAATCAACATGTGATGAAAACGATTTTAGTTTGTAAATATCAAATGCTCAAAATAGGCAATTATTGTAAATTCTCGATTTAACAGACTAACAGATGGAAATAAAAGTCTGTCGAATCTGAACAATTTCTAAGGCCAGTTTATTTTTAATATAAAAATATGCTTTAATGCATATACAATATTGTAGAGCATACAAACTTAGTCCTGTGATAAAACAAGGTATGTTACATCTGTTTTACTTTGAGTCCGTTAAGTCGAGAGAGCTTATTCTATTTTTCATCTGATATGAAAAAAGCTATTCGACAGAGATTATACAAAACACTGACTGACTAAATCCGAAGAATCAAATTAAACAAAACAACCATGAGATTAATTGTAAATAAATCTTTATGTATATAAGAGTTATTTAAACTACGTGATTATTGCAAGTTTCACAGACTGCTTGAAAAGAGGTCTCTGGTTTTGGAAATGCCTCGCGAGAAATGAAGTCCTTATAATAGGACACAATATTTGAGGACTGAACACAGCAATTTATTTCTGTATATGACATTCATTACACACATATTTTTTCGGATAAATATCTTCATCTTGGTTGTAATTTAACATTATTTGCGGCGATACATCATTCGGTCTCCCTCACATTTGTAATTTTTTGTATCACACTCGACTACTCCAGATTTCGATATTTCAAAAAAAAGAAATTTGTTTTAAATTTAAAGTAACCACGTGCTATGCGCATATTTTATTTTTGCAAACTTTGGTGAATCAATTTACAACTACATTTACAAACTGAAACCCGCTATTAACATTTTTAATATTTAATCATTTTTTTAAAAATTAATTTAATATTTTCACACACACTATATATATATATATATATATATATATATATATATATATATATATTCGTGGTCTGGAGTGCTTAATTTATAGTAATTTGAGAAAAGAAAAAATAATTATTTCAGGTCACAACGCCATCGTTCTTATTATTTATTCTATATCGTACAGAATTGTGGCACAAGGCCAACGCCATCGCTCTTACATGTAATGTCAAAAACGTTTATGCTCCGAGGGGAAATTTTCAGACGAAAACTTTTAAAATTCAAACAGATTTTTCAAAACTTTTCTGCAAATTTTTTATCAGACATGGAATTTTGCCGCCCGTTTCCTTGAAATTAATAAACTTTACAATACATATTCCTACAAATTCATTGTGAAGCATAGGGCCGCTCCCAGTCCAAATGATAATGCTGCATTTTCAGCACGAATGGAATTGCAATCGATGATCGAGACTTCAGTGAACTGCCATGCAGTACTAAATCCGGAAGAAACAACTTAGCCCCGCCGACTGAGAGCCGGGACAACTCAGAATCAAGACAAGTAAATCTTAAGTTATTAATTAAATTATTTTTTATAAAAATATTTTAGAATATCGACTTACTTTATAAAAAAATAAATTACAATTACATTGATTTACTTTATTAAAGATAATTAAAAACAAAAAACCTGGTTCATATTTTATCATAATGCTTTTTCAAATGCCTTATTTGAAGAAAAATATTCTCTAATTAATGTTTTAATACTTAAGAAACTATTTTTATTCGGTTATAAAAAAAAAAACGTTATGTTTTTCTGGTGCTGAGTTGTCCCGGCGTTCATTTGGCGATGTTGAATTGTACTGCTTCCATACTAAATGGCTTCAACTGTTTTACCTTGAAAAGAAAGAGACTGGAAAGAGTAGATTCCTCCCTATCACGACGGTATTAATATGAAATGAATGAAAATAGACCAGTCCACTCGTAAAAAAATAAAGAAAAATCTTTTGGGGGGAATATTTTTCATTCGTTGGACTTTCCTGAAGGCGCGACAATTATCAGAATCGAAAAAAAATACTTTTATCATTTTAGAAATGGGGACATGTTTATAATTAATTATCGATAGAGTATAAAATTGATCACTGACCTTTGACAGAGTTATCTGGACTTAACTCTTCTGCGTATAAAAACAGCTAAGTCCAATGACAAAAAAATCAGGAATAACACTGTATCAATATTATAAACGTCCGCTTCTAGAATGATGGAGAAATCAATATTTTTCGATTCTGATCAATGTCGCAGCTTGAGGAAAGGAAGGATAATATACAAAAATTATTTCCAAAATAAAAATTCCCTATTTTTTGTTTACGAATCTAATTAAGTAGTGTTGCAAACTGTCCCTACCGGAGTTTTATCTCGTTTCAGCGATTTCATTCGTTAAGGGTTAGGTCTACCAAAAAACCTTGGTAAACTGGAGCTGAAGAAAAAGAATAAAATTAGTAGGCGATTCCAAAATACCACCAGATGACACATATTCCTGAGGAAGACCGAGAAATAAATCAATCGAAACATTGTAATAAAAAGAAAATCAAAAATGAAGATAGCTGCCGGAAGGATATGCGGAAACATCTGTATATATATTCTATACCTATGTACAAAACTTTATTTATTTATTTATTTATTTATTTATTTATTTATTTATTTATTTATTCGTGCCTCTGAAGTCGGCACAGTTTCAACAAAATAAAATATTGAAAAGATTTATCAAGAATTTTGTCTTTTTTTTTGTCATAGATATTTCATTAAAAAATAACATTTTAAAATCTTTGACAGCAACTTATCTTTTTTATAAGACAAAATGGAAATACATTTCATTACACACACACACACACACACATATATATACATATTCACTGTTCATTTTTATTCTTTCAAGGTTATTTTATAAATAATATAATGATCTTAAAGATAGAAAACAAAGATTAATTAATAATAATTTTCCTAACCAGATTGCTAGACAAATTAACTTTTAAAGAAAAAATAAATGAATAATACAGATAATCTAACGAACTCAAAACATAAAACAATAATTCCTCTAACCACATACACCGACAATCGCACAAATATATATATATATATATATATATATATAATACGAAGGATTAATCGTCTAAATTACGCTAAAATGAAAATAACACTGACATCTCATCTTAACAGATATATTTACCAAAATTACACAAAAATATCTTAAAATACTAAAAAGTAGATTTATTCAATAAAATCGTCATTGGCTTCAACCACGGACTACAGACGACTTCGAATTCTCTTGCAACTCTTCTGGACGGTCTCCTTGATTAAGTTGATGAATGCTGCCATAATCCTTGCCTTCAGTTCATCTTTGGTGTTACAAGGAGTTTTGTTGGTCTCTCCCTCAACTGCACTCTACACATAATAATCAAGGGAGCTGAAGTGTGAGGAGTTAGGCGGCCAGATATAAGGGTTGATGTGGTCGCAGAAATTGTCTGACACCCATGGCTGGGTTCTCCTGCTTGTATGGCATGGTACAGAGTCATGTTGCTAGACATAGGGTCTTCCAGCAGCCACCCTCTTGACCCAGAGCAACATTATCTCCTCAATGCAGTTGATGTAGGCCTTTGTGTTGAGTCTGAGCCCCTCACCGACAAATTGGGAGGTCTCTTCTCATCTGAACGATCCGAGCTGCCGTACCTTCGAATTCACTGTTAGACTCATCTAAGGAATCCACTGTATTGTCCTCAGACTGACACCCAAACATTCTGAAATGTTTATATTGGACCTTCCGGCGCGAATGTCAATCAGTACAGTATGCCGTTTCCAAATTTCTGGCGGAATAAATTGTATCCTGATGCTTCTTTTCTCACAGACGGTGCCCAACTGACACTACTATACTGTGCAGTCGACAAAATCTAAAACAAACAACGCGCATGCGCAAAATTAAAAATATAAAATGACAATTTTCCCATCGCACTTGTGTGTGTGTGTGTGTGTGTGTGTGTGTGTGTGTGTGTGTGTGTGTGTGTGTGTTGAGTTGGCCAGAAAGTCTTGACTCACTTGCGGAAACAAAACAACAAAATTTTATTGAACAACACCAATAATCTTCAAAATAAAGTCCATCATTCTCGATGATCTTCTACCACCAATCAGTCAGCATCAGAATCTGTTCCACATGCCAGTCCGCTGACTTTGAATAAAAAAAATATAAATAAGTTTCCTTCACGTCATCAAAAGTGTTGAATCGCTGGTCGCGGAGGAAGTGTGCCATATTGCGGAATAGGCCATAGTCACTCGGAGCAACATTGGGACTGAATAGTGGATGTGGAAGAATTTCAACATCGTCCATCTGTTTGCACTTCTTAGTCAACCTGGCAGTGTGTGGCCTCGCATTGTTTTGCTGAAACAAAGCCCAACCTCGATTGACCAAAGCAGGATACTCCTTCTTTAGTTTGTCGTACACGCGGTCTAGTTGCTGGCAATACATTTTAGCGTTGATGGCACGGCCGTGTGGAACAAGCTCGAAATGCAGTACTCCTTGGAAATTACACCTGACAGAGATAAAGATTTGTTGTTTTTTTTTCTACTTTGTAAATGAGTTATGACTTTCTGGCTAACCTATATATATATATATATATATATATATATATATATATATATATATATATATATTTCCAGGTAAGATAATAACAAATGG